GTATCACAATTTCTGTATCTCTTCCTCAACTGAGGGGCATCTGGGCTGTTTCCAACTTCTGGCTATTACAAATAAAGCTGCTACAAACATGGTTAAGCAAGTGTCCTTGTTGTGTACTTGAGCATATTTTGGATATATGCCTAGGAGTGGTATAGCTGGATCTTGAGGAAGCGCTATTCCTAATTTTCTGAGAAAAGACCAGATTGACTTCCAAAGTGGTTGTACAAGTTTACATTCCCATCAGCAGTGTAGGAGGATTCCCCTTTCTCCACATCCTCTCCAGCATGTGTTGTCACTTGAGTTATTCATCTTAGCCATTCTGATGAGTGTAAGGTGAAATCTCAGGGTCATCTTGATTTACATCTCCCTGATGGCTAAGGACTTTGAACATTTCTTTAAGTGTTTCTCTCCCAGTCGATATTCCTCTTGAGAATTCTCTGTTTAGCTCTGTATCCATTTTTAAATTGGATTACTTGATTTGTTGCTGTTTAACTTCTTTAGTTCTTTATATATTCTGGATATTAGCCCTCTGTCAGATATAGGGTTGATAAAAACTCTTTCCCAATGTCTAGGCAGTTGTTTTGTTTCAATGACAGTGTCCTTTGTTTTACAGAAGCTTTTCAGTTTCATGAGGTCCCATTTATTGATTGTTGCTCTTAGAGCCTGTGCTGTTGGTATTCTGTTCAGGAAGTTATCTCCTGTGCCAATGAGTTCTAGGCTCTTCCCCACTTTTTCTTCTTCTTTTATTTTATTATTAGTTACATTTTATTAACTCTGTATCCCAGCTGTATCTGCTCCCTCATTCCTTCCCAAACTCTCCCTCCCTCCCTCATCTCCTCCCTGCCCCTTTCCAAGTCCACTGATTGGGGAGGACTTCCTCCCCTTTCATCTGATCTTGTTTTATCAAGTATCTTCAGAACTGGCTACAAAGTCCTTCTCTGTGGCCTAGCAGGACTGCTCCTCCCTTTGGGGGTGGGAAGGTCAAAGAGCCTGCCATTGAGTTCCTGTCAGAAATAGTCCCTGTTCCCCTTACTATGGGAAACCAGTTGGTTACTAAGCTACCACGGGCTTCATCCACGCAGAGGTTCTAGGTTATATCCATACATGGTCCTTGGTTGAGTGTCAGTCTCAGAAAAGACCCCTGTGCCCAGATATATTTGGTCCTTGTGGAGCTCCTATCCTTTCCACATCATACAAACTCCTCCTTTTTTCATATGTTTCCCTGCACTCTGCCGAAGGTTTGGTTATGAGTCTTAGTATCTGTTTTGATACACTGCTAGGTAGAGTCTCTCAGGGGCTCTCCACTTTTTCTTCTAACCAGTTTAATGGGTCTGGTTCTATATTGAGGTCTTTGATCTACTTGGGCTTTAGTTTTGTGCAGAGTTATAAGTATGGATCTATTTGCATTTTTCTGCATGTAGATATCCAGTTAGACCATCACCATTTATTGAAGATGCTATCTTTTTTCCATTGAATGGTTTTGGCATCTTTGTCAAAAATCGGGTGTCCATAAGTGTGTGGGTTTATTTCTGGGTCTTCTATTTGGTTTCATTGATTCACCAGTCTGTTTCTATGCCAGTACCATGCAGTTTTTAGTATTGTTCCTCTATAGTACAGCTTGAGATCAGGGATGGAGATACTTCCAGAATCTCTTTTATTATATAGGATTGTTTTAGCAATTCTGGGTTTCTTGTTATTCCATATGAAGTTGAGAATTTTTCTTTCCAGGTCTGTAAAGAATTGTGTTGGTAATTTGATGGGAATTGCATTGAATCTGTAGATTGCTTTTGATAAGATGGCCATTTTTACTATGTTCATCCTGCCAAGCCATGAGCATGGGAGATCTTTCCATCTTCTCATATCTTCTTCTAATTCTTTCTTCAGAGACTTAAATTTTATTTCATACAAATCATTGACTTTCTTGGTTAGGGTCACACCAAGGTACTTTATGTCTTTTGTGGCTATTGTGACGGGTATTGTTTCCCTAATTTCTTTCTCAGCCCTTTTGTCTTTTGTATACAGTAGGGCTTCTGATTTTTTTTTTTTAGTTAATTTTGTATCCAGCCACTTTAATGTAGTTGTTTATCAGCTGAAGGAGTTCCCTGATAGAATTTTGGGGGTCACTCAGGTATACTATCATATCATCTGCAAATAGTGATACTTTAACTTCTTCCTTTCCAATTTGTATCCCCTTGATCTCCTTTAATTGTCTTATTACTCTAGCTAGGACTTCAAGAACTATATTGAAGAAATATGGAGAGAGTGGGCAGCCTTACCTTGTCCCTGATTTCAGTGGGATTCATTTAAGTTTCTCTCCATTTAGTTTGATGTTGGCTATAGGCTTGCTGTATATTGCCTTCACTATGTTCAGGTATGTGCCTTATATCTTTGATCTCTCCAAGGCTTTAAACATGAATGGATGTTGGATTTTGTCAGATGCTTTTTCAGCATCTAAGGAGATTATCATTTTTTTTCAGTCTGTTTATATGGTGGATCACATTGATCAGGGATACAAGGCACATACCTAAACATAATAAAGGCAATTATAAGCAAATTAACAGACACTTAATGAAGACTTCAACTGAATGTGTGATGGGTAACTTCCATGTGTGATTGTTAGTAAGATTAGTAATATATTTTTCCTGGGCTTCTACTTCCCTAGACCTTTATCTGAACACTACCAAGACTAACTAGAATAGATCATTTGTGAAATATTCTTCCAGTACCATGGCTTTCTGTAAATAAAGATAGACACTAGAATCAAGGGTTTGTTACTTTGTTGGAGGGATGTTCTTCTCCATAAATTATGAAGGCTAAGTTTAAGTCAAGATTTCTTCAGTTGTGCTTTAGATTTCCATTATGTTACCCTAACTAAAATAACTTACAGAAGGTTTTTTAAAAATACTCAACGCAAAGTCAATAGAAAAATGTTACCTAACATCTCTCATACTATACATTCTCCCTCCCCAAGTTCTAAGCTCTATCCCAGTGAAGTGATACAATGGGAAGAAGCAATTTCCTACATCTAGATGCCCCAACCAAGTGGCTAAAGTGGAGAATGCTGTTTACGCTGTTCAGGTCCTTTGAGCTTTGTTGTAAATAAATAATGTCTGTATAGATAGGTTTTAACACAAGCCAATGAACACAAAACTGTGCTACTACCAAATTATTTCAAGAATGAATTTGGGGTGAGTTGATTTCCAGGTTGAATAACATATTAGTGAAACTTAAAATGAGTCCATGATTAGTTTTTAATCTGAAGCTTGAGGAAGTAAAAAGGAGATAATTTGTCCAAGCTGGAATTGCTTGAGCACAGCCTTGAAGCCCATGGAAGTGAAACACTAGAAAAGATTTCACAAAATGCCAAGGTATGTTTTGGTTCATGACATTGGTTCTATACTTAGAAAATATTTCTTACTCCTCTGAATTTATGCAAATATATTAAGTTGTCTTCTATACATTTGCAAAAATTTGTACATATAAATACTCAAAGTACTCCATGTTAATTTTTTATATGATGCTTGGAAAGATCATCTAACTTTTTTGATTAAATAAATGACCATTATCATTTCCCCAATAATTTGAAAGGTTGTATAAGATATTTGCCAAGTTCTTCTGTGTCCTGTGTTCACTAACTTCTCTTGCTACATGTTACGCGGTCTGTTAGTTTGAAGGAACTCTCATGCTTTCTGATGGGAGAGTTCCTTCACAGCAACTTCACTTACCCATTGTTTTTTCAATATATTCCTCACATGCATATTATCTCAGAGAAGTCTTAGGATGTTTGGTATGTATTTTTAAAAATGTATCTAGATACAAAATACTTACTTGAAACTAGTTGTTCGCTATGATTTGAAATTTTATTACATTTATTTAAATTGTTATGAGTGTGTGAGTGTCTTTATGTGTGTGTGTCTGCATGTGTATGTATGTGTGTGTGTTTATACATGTGGCTATCAGATAACAATCTGCAGGAGTTTGTTCTTTCCTTCTACTATGTAAGTCAGAGAAATTGAACTCAGGTTGTCAGGTATTGTGGCAAGAACCTTACTCACTGTCTCATCTTACTGTCATAAGATAAAAACAAAAGAATAGAGGCCAATAAAACTTACTCTGCATTTAAAAAATTTTTAAATCAAATGAAAGCAGGTTTTTCTTTTAGCAAATTTGAAAGCCATCAGTTTTCTTATTATTTATTAATGAATTAATTATTTTAACTACATGGTTAGGCCAAGTCAAGTATGAACAAATTTGCATTCAAACAACCAAATATTTCTATCCAAATTAAACTCTTGACTATTTTACAATACAAAGTATTTTTATCATGGGTGGATAATGGTTTGGCAAAGCAGCTCTGTGACCCATTTTTTACTTATATGAAATCATATGCTATCAGAAGCTTGATTTGTCTGGGTTCTTTGGAATGTTCACAGAGACAATCTTTCTGTCATAATGATGTAGTCGTTGTCTCAAAATGAGACATAGAATAATGCCTATATGGAAGATGATCTCCTTCTTTGTTGTCTTATCTTTTTATCTTGGTTATCTTCCTTATTCATAAAATAATATATTGATTTCTAAGTGCTTACTGTTAATGAATGTACTATAACACATTTGTCTCTGAGAAAATTGAAAAGAAAATAACGGTAAAATGAAACAAGAGTAGCAAAATTCTAGTTCCTTTGCTTCACGTATTTCCTACTGATAAGCTGGTTTAAGTTTTACTTAAGTCTCACAATTACCTTTTCCAAAAAAATATTTTAGCCTTTGATATCCTACAACAAGGTTTGGTTTTGTGGGGTTTTTTGTTTAGTTTTGTTTTGTTTTTGTTTTTGTTTTGGTTTTGGTTTTGGTTTTGGTTTTGGTTTTGATGGGAATCTGAAAACATGTAAGCTCCTTAGGAGCAAATGTCAAGAATGGATTATAACAAGTTAAAAACCTAGGATTCTCTTCTTTATATTAATTTTAATGCAATACTTCTTTCTTTCTTTCTTTTGCAGTTTCTTCTTTGTGGCATATGTGGAATACTGTGTGCCAAAAAAAAATCAGGACTTATTGTAAGTTTTTGCCTTGGTTTTATATTACATTGAAGGGTTTGAGATCCAATCATTCAAAATAGAAATGATGTCTAGGAACTTATGTCTACTTAATGCTGCTAATTTAGAATTAAAGGGAAACTAAGAAGCTAATCCTGACCTTATTGCTTTAAAGAAACCTATCAAGAATATTAGAGATAAGGAAAAACACCAAAGTCCTTGAAAAGCTCTGCTACACTCTTTAAATACATGAATATTCAAACTTTAATGTTTGTTATAAAGGGAGTCTATACAGTTTTTCACTTAGAGACTCTGAAGCAATCCCCTGGGTCCTTCAGGGAGCAAATAAAGGTAAAACCTACTCTGTGAGAAATTAAACCAGTTAAATATAGATCTGGGCCTAAGGATTATTGTTTTTTTTTTTTTTAAACTGGGAAGCTAATTTTGCAAAGTACCAAGACAGATGTGGTGCTATGGGTACATTTAGTTCTTTAAGATTTATTTAATTCATTTTTATTATTGTATGTACACATTTAATCTTTTTCAGATGTTTTATTGTGCTATCGCAGGATTTTGGAATAGACAGCATGCTCCCTGTTAACTCTGATATAAGCTGGATGGGAGCCCTTCTTGCTAAAATGTAGACTCCCCTTGACTTCTTGACATTTCATGAGAGTTGAAAAATGGAAGAGGAAAAGACTCCACCCAGCAGGATATCGAAGCAGTTGCAGAGACTCACAGCCAAACTTTGGGCAGTGCACAGGGAGTCTTATGGAAGAAGGGAGATATAAAAGGACATGGAGGGGACAGGAGCCATACATGGAGACCAAAAAAGCCAAAAAGCCATAAAAGCCAAAAAAAAAAAAAAAAAAAAAAAAAAAAAAGCTGGGCCCAGGGAGAGGCTGCAGAGACTGATGCATGCATAAAGACTTGGACACCCTGGCTCTGATGTAGCCCATGGACAGCTCAGTCTCCATGCAGGTTCCTTGTAAGGGGAGAACAGACAGTCTCTGACATAAACTTGGTTGCCTGCTCCTTGATCACTTCTCCCTGGTGGGGCAACCTAGCCAGTCCACAGAGGAAGAGGATACAGGTAGTCCTTATGGGACCTGATAGGCTAGGGTCAGACAGTAGCGGAGGAGGACTTCCCCTATCAGTGGACTAGGGAAGAGGGATAGGGGAGGAAGAAAGAGGGAGGCTGGGACTGGAAGGAGATGAGGGAGGGGGCTATAACTGAGATACAAAATGAATAAATTTTAAATGATAAATAATAATAATAAATCTTTTAAAAAGAAAAAAATGGAAGAGACATGGTTTATTTTCCTGAGTACTATAGAAAAGATCATAATCCTTCACACATTAGTAAATTTAATTACACCAAGACCCTGAAGAATGTTCTTCGAGCTCAGGAAAAGGTTTCTTATAAGTCAGGCACAGGAGCAGAGCAGTAAATGGGGGCCCTCTCAGTCATCCTCATCTTTCATCTTTCTCAAATATCTCTTTGTGATGATCTCTGTTGAAGAAAGGCAGATAAAGCCTTCACTGTGACAATCATGTGTAATATAATTGTTAAACATTTGAAAGAAAAAGACCTTTGGGAAAATATGTTTGTATTTGTAGTTGGCATCTATGATTCTTCCATCACTCTGTAGGTATGGCCTTTATTATTTCTATACCTTTTAACTATCAATACTTGTTATAGTTGTATTGGAACAGCTTATTGAGAGAAGAAGACAAAAAAATAAATGGAAGGGACTTGGAGAAGGAAGGGGTATCAGTTAATTTTTAAGGCACTGTGTGTCTTCACTGTTTTTCTAATTCCCTTTTAAGTTATAAAGGTAAAATTTTGAAACTACTGTGTAAATGGTAGATGTAGTTACCATTAGACCATACATTATATTTCTGTATTTTCTGAAGCTCATAAGTGACATGTAGCCCCAAGGATTTTATGCTGAACAGTAAATGTTTTACAACATGTCTTTTTTACTGATGCCTCATCAGTCTAGAATCTCTTGTGTAATGGTATTTAAATATTATATGATTAAGAACCTGGATGCTAATTCTAATATTTTAATTCATAGCTGATAATATTCTACCAACACATACCAATGGAGTATCATTTACTATTACAGACATTGAGAATAACATTAGCAGAGACATACATGTTTAGGTAAAAATAAATATTTCACCTACTTTTATAATAAAATTCAATCACTAGTTGAAGGCAAGAATGTATAATCATTTAGTATTGTCTGTTAATGAGTAAACACCAAAACATATACTCAAGAAACAACACAGCAAATGAGTAGCATTTAAAATAGAATGTAACTGGTTAATTCAACTTAAATTTTGAAATATATTTGCTACTATATGGGATAATTTTGTGACTTTTGTAGTCAATTTTCAACATTATATTCAATCACATATACAAAATTTTTTTGCTCCATCATCAGGTTTTCAGCTCTGATGATAAGCCCTGACATAAGCACAATAAGTAAGGAAGAATGAAATTAGAGAAATAAAACAAAAGACTGTACTAGTAAAGAACTTCGCCTGTCGAGCTTTAATTGGTTTTCCTTTATGCATGCATTGTCTGGCCCTTTCCTGGAACTTCATTCAAGGAAATTGCTACCAGTACTACTTGGATAAAATTTTCCTCCCTCTACTCCTAAATCAACCCCACCCCCATTTAATATTTGTAGCCTGATTTTTACTACTTTGTGGGTTCTTTTTTCTTCTATAATTTCAACAACATAACACTAGACAGGAGGAAAAAATGATAGATAGTAAAGAGGATGATGTTATCATTAGACTATTTTCTGCTGATTTAGGAGCAAGTTGAGTTGAGTTCCTTCAGGAAAAATTGCTCTTCAACATCAGGAAATCTGATTTATTCCTCCTCCTCATTATTCTCCTCCTTGTCCTTCTCCTCCTCCTCCTCCTCCTCCTCCTCCTCCTCCTCCTCTTCCTCCTCCTCCTCTTCTTCCCTTGAGCATTATGTTTTAAAAAACCGGAACCAATAGCAACTAACCAACAATCTGCTTCTCAGGGCACTAGGATTTATATACCCTCTGAATAGTCCCCAGAATTCCAAATGTCACACATACACAGAAACTATCTGCAGCTGGCAAAACCATGCCTCTGCTAGAGCATGGGGCAAATCACAGTCAGCTGCCCTGAAGCAACTCCATAGTCTCACACCTGAGATTAAAATAAAAACATATTGTTATAATATTGCTGTGTTTTTAAAGAAACCAAAATTCTAACTACAAATATTGACCATGTCATGATTATATTTTAAAGCTCATTGCACTCAAGGGTATTAAAACACAATTCCTCATGATGCCAAATGCATTCTAACTTAGTACCAGTAGATACTAGGTACTCAAAAAATACTTGTTGAACTCAACTGTTGACAGCAAACAATATCTTATAATGTAAAAATAAACACTAAATTAAGTTATAAAACTGTTTGTCCTAAAGAATTAACACAACAGATGAGATTAATAATGTTCAGGAAGACGTTCTGAAAAGCTATGACCCTTTTTTCTATTAGGGGTCCAACGGAAAAGCAAAATTATTTCCAGGAAACTATAAATGTCCTTGAAGTGAAATGTGTGTGGTGTACCAATGGGCAGGTATGTTGGGGGTTAATTAGTGTTGTACAGTGCTTGCCTCTGTCTCATGTTTTGTCCCAAGGAGTGTAATTGGCTACTGTGTTCCAGAAAACAGAAATATGAAAAAGTAATAAATTAGTATCACCCTACAAAAGGTCTATTAAATCCTGTAAGGTAACTTAGACCAGTTGCCCAAAGCAAATAATGTTATTTTGAAACTCTTTATATAGTCAGTTAAATTTAGTATGTATTCAGAGAATATTTACTACACAGAAAGGGCATTACTTACTGCTGCCAAGGATCCTCTTTAGGATGAATTAACATCGTATCTCTATGAAAAGAGACCCATGTTAAGCCAATAGTAAGATCAACAGTAAAAGCCACACTCAAAACAATCAAATACACTGTAATAGTTCACTGTGGTGCCAGAGAGCAACAAAAAAAGATTTGAATGATGCTGGGCTGGGTTACAGAAAGTCCCTACAATGCCCATTAGGGGAAATACATAAGAAAATAATGAGGAAAAAAAGTAGATTGAGCTAAATTCCCAAAGTTCACCTAGGTACAAAGGTATAGATAACAGAATGAAACTGAATTTAAGTTGGAGAATCTGACCTGATTGCCATTCATTCTTCTGAACTGTATTAGTGCTTCTTGCAAAGAACCTCTGAGAGGGACCACACAGGGGATGGTGTCTGTTCCTCACACAACACCAGGCATATAGGAGATGGGTATTATTTTCATCTGAATCTAGCCAAAAGCTAAATTTTGTTTCCTTCAGTTTCATAACATATGTTATTTGTTCCATTTTGGAAGTTCTATGATGTGCTTCCTCAGCAGTGAGTCAAATTGAGTGTAGTCTCCACTAATGAGCACACCTGTCCTACCTTCTTACAAGCAAAGAAAACACACTCTCTTCATCATAGGTTTACCATTCTTGGCCTGCAGTATCTTGAGACTCTATGTTCTGAATATCTCAGCCTTATCAATTTTAACACCCTCTTTCTTCTTCTTCTCAGATGATACTCTTTTCAGCCTGCTGTATCTGTGGACTCATTGGAGGCATCCTGAATTTTCAGTTTCTTCGGGCAGTCACAAAAAAGACCTCATTCCTGTACCCACTGCATATTGCTTCCATGTCTTTGGCATGTATTGGCATTGGTGGCTGCACTATCTCTTCCTGGCTCACTTGTCGTCTAGCCAGTTATGAGCAAAGGAGGATGTTCTCAGAAAGGGAACATTCCCTTCATCACTCTCATGAAATGGCTGAGAAAGTGAGTTTTTTCATCTTGCCTCACACTGCTACCATGCGATAAACCCTACAATTTCCAAGTGAATCAACGCAACTTTAGATGGCAATTTGGGAAATCACATTTTCTAAGTTTGACCTTATTAGATTAAAAACAGAGTTTTTAATTAGTTTTTTCTGCAATTCATAAGTACGAACATTTTAGCAGAATTTCATAGCCTTTGTCTATTTGAAAACATAGCTCCTAAAATAGCATTTTATAAAATATTAAACACCTTATAAATATGGATTTTTATGTATTACATTGAGGAAAAACATAAGCTAAATACAGCCTCCACTCAATAATGCCAGCTTTAGAAATCACATGAATTCTCTTTTCCAGTACATCCTTTGTGCTTATAAGTTGGTGCATTTGATTATGTAAATTGGATCCTCAAGCATAAAAGAGGCTCTTTAGTAAGGCAACAAAAAGCCTTGTCTATAAATGCAGATATTACAATCCATATAAAGCTTCGTTGAATTCTCATCTAAACTTCATGCATATTTGGATAGCTTTGGCTCTATTTTACACAATGCTGCTTGAATAATTACTTCATGAAACTTATTTTAATAGAAAGTTATATTAGTTGCATTGTGGAGCAAATAGTGCAGAAAAAAATGTGTGTGCTCCTTTTACATTTGGTACACATTTCTAAATTCAGTTTCTATTATTTCACCTACTGAGAAAAATAAACATCTGTAAAATCAACTCACTAAGATAGTGAGCAAATTATATTTTGATTATTCCTTGAAAAGAAAATTGTAAGATTATAGCACAAAAAATCGTACTGAGTTGTGCATATTTCTTTATAATGTTATTTTAAGTTAATATTTATTTTGTACTTCATTTTTCTTTTTTTGTATATTATCTATACATTAGGAGAAGGGATTCTCATTAACTGTCCAAATGAAGTAATTGTGGGCAGATTTTTACATGTCATTCAAAGTAAAAGAATTGACATTATAAATCAAAGGACTTACTAGTTTTAAAGCAGGTCATTAAATTGTTGCATTTTTGCAAGTTGTGATAGCAGTTCCATTTTGTTCTGTTTTTATGCTAGTGTTTTTTAGATTTTCTTTGCATATATTTGTTCAATATTTATTGTATAATTGTTATATTTACATTAGAGATTGAGGGCTATTGAAATAACCGACTTGCCCAGCTGCCCGGTGGTGCCTCCAACTCCAGAGTTACCTACAAGGTATGCTGACTTCTAGGGAGTTACCATGTTGTAATGTTGTTACAGGACGCACTGCCTTTAGTAGAAAGCCATGATGTCAGCATATCAGTCTTCACTGATGTTGTATGTTCCTCAAAGTATCACTTTCAGAAGGACTACTCTGAGGAGCAGACATAAGCCTACATGGCAGAATCTCATAGCTTCAAAGTTGGTTGTGTATTTTAAATATTCAGCCTGCCTCTAAGCATCCAAACACAGTTCTGCTTGGATGATTCATAATTCCCTTTATACTCTGCTGCATCACAATTCTGACTCAGTATCATCATTCACAGATTAGAATTTTGCTTTTCATAATAGATGAGTCTGGATAAAGACAAACTATATATTTCTGTCATGCCAAAATTGCATGAACAGATAGCCAAAGTTTAATATTAATATAGTAAAATGTCTGTATGGTGCGTTACTTTGGTAAAATTGTCTGATATACTACATTTTCAATTTATTGCATATATTTCCAGTTGTGAACAATAAATATTCAGGGCTCTTGGTTTGGACAAGAATAGTAACTATAAATGCAGAAATTTAAATTTGCAGCCTCTTTGAAGGAAGTACATTTATTTATAAACATCTAAGTCTGTTCTTTGCCCAGATTAGAGGTATGGTCTTATTATATTGGAAATGCCAATTTGCAAATAAAATGATGAGACTCATCCATTTAAAACTAACTTTCACTATTATTTTCTATCAGTAATTTTACTGTGTCTGTGTTTGACTGAGTGTACTTAAGAAAATTATTTGAATATATAAGATTTTAGAAAACATTTTTCTTATAATCTTACAACAAGATTAATAATTTAGTTTTATTGGTTTTAGGCATTTTTTAAAATTTGAATTCTTTTTAGGGGAAGAAAATGGCAGGTGAGATTCTTATTTCTATGTACTTATTAAGAAATTTTCTTTCTTTGCTAGCAGTATAAATAAGAAAATATGCTTCATTAAATTTTACAATGATAATTTAAGGAATTAAATTAAGAGTGTGGTTAAACTCTCTGTCAAGCAGTTTTTATAAAATTAACACCAGGCCAATGGCTCCATGTTTTCAGGCCTGCTTTCACTGTGTTCATCCTTAGAAGTCTCCCTAACAGAGACAGGATTAAAAATGGGTAGTAAGAAGAAGACTATGAAAACAGCTTTATTTGATATGTTTTTGCTGCCCTTTTGAAAGCCACCTTGTTGAAGTATAGAATTGTCAATCTTGAATAATAGATAATACTAATATGCTAACTATAATAAAATGTACTATGATAAATGTGGATGGGCCTCTGATCTCATAACTTCTCATTGTGTGATAAAAGGCTTAATAGCTGATAAACAGGGTCTAGGAATGTGATCTAGTTGGTGGAATGTTTTCCTAGTATCTCGAGCATCTTGTAGTTCAAGCATAGTGGCACATCCTGGGTTTCTAAAACTCAGAAGGTCAAGGCCATCCCAAGTACATAGTGTGTTTCTAACAAGCCTGGGCTACACAAAACCTTCTCTCAGAATCAACCAAAGAAGCAGAAAAATTGTCAAAAAAACTATATAATTCAAATCATCTAAAATTTATTTAGCTATTTTCTGTAACTGCAACTGGAATTTATTATGTTGCTTTATTTCTCGCATCTGTATATCGATGTCTTCCCAAGCACATTTAAAAACATACTCCAAGTTTTTATTGTTGCTTTTTACTGTATAAGTGATAGTATTATTACAAACAATTTTCCTGGCTAGGCATGATGGTTTACACCTAGAATCTCAATATTCAGGAGGCTGGGGCAGAAAAATTGCAAGTTTGAAGCAGCTTTGAGCTACACAAGTTCAGCGTCAGTCTGAGCTACATTTCTAGACCCTAGTTAAAACAAAATCAAACAAACCTAATACAACCATCTTTCTTACTGAGAACATAAAAGCCCCATGTTCTTCTATAACCTGTAAAATGTGTTGGCACTTAGTTGATGTGCTTGGCAGAGGAGCCTGAATATTGGGAAAACCTGGTCATTTAGCCATCTTTTTTCTATGTTACTTCCTTCCAAAAGAGAGTTGAAGAAAGGGGGAAAACTTGAGCATGTGGTTAGAGAGTGAACTAATTTGTGTGTATATGTCTGGGTTGTCACTTAAACATTACAAGATGCCATAAAATTTCATTTTGTAAATCACAGGACAAGATTTTGTCCTCGCCCCCCCCCAAAAAAATAAACATATTTTCATTGGCTTGTAATTTCTGTTTCTATTAAGTATATCAATGTCTTACTTTAAAAGTGAGTTTTAATTATTTCATGTTATTTTGCTAACAGGAAATGACAGACATGAGCAATGGAGCACCACAACTGATATTTAATGGAAGAGTACAATCGATGTTTTAAAGAACCGAACATTTTCAGGTTTATGAGGCAAGAAAGGTTGAAGACCTGGGCACTGCCATTAAAATCATGATTGCACTTGTGGTTATTTCTCCTGACCATCTCAATTATTCCTCCTCACTTTTGCCTCTCTTACTCTTTTGCCTTTTCTAGAGGGATAAACTTACCAGAAATGTTGTAGCTTAGTCATCTCAGCAGACTGGTCAACTGTTCTCAAGAAGACTCTTCCAGAAAAATAGATGGAGCAGCAGTGATTAATACTGTACACAAACACCATTTGACTCGCATGAGCTTTAGAATTGTAATTGCATATTTTATGAATACTTAAAAAGTAAGCCCAACAAGAACTAACAATAGTTATTGTTATTTATGTCTTTGTTTTGAAAGACAAATGACTTCAAGTATGCTAAAAAATCAAAACCTCAACAATGCCTTGTTACAACACTGTAATTAATTTCAATTTGTGAATAAACTATATTTCATAACTTATTTGTAAATTATAAAAACTAAAGCATAAAAGGTGATTTTTAGTGAGAAAAAGAATATTAATCTGTATAATATTTTTGCACTTTTGAACAAGTGAACAATTATAAGTGAGTTTTATGTAAGGAAATAAATGTTTTCATTATGCTGTGCAGATGATCAGTATGTTCATGAATGAGTCTAAGAATAAAGTATTTGTGTATACATATACTGTAAATGCAAAAATGCACACAGCATATATTTATAGCTATACAAATGTAAATAGATAAGAAGAAAGAAATTGTGATGGTATGAGGTTAGTCCACCAGCTACGAAAAGGTCATTGCTCAAGCTTTCTAAGCCCACAAGGTTATATATTTAATTTCTATCTATCTGTCCATCTTCTTCTTTTTCTTAAATTTATTGTGTGTAGACAAGCATTATTGCTGACATGTATGAAGCTGAGTGCTGAATATTGAAGCATAAATATAAACTTGTTAGTTGTTGGATATTTTACAGTGATTATGGTTTGTGTAAAAGTAATTGTTAATATTGATTTATAAATGTAAGTTCAATCATATAAATCTTTATTTATAAACAAGAATTATTACTGAGGATTGTTTCTGCTATGTTTATTTCAAATAACTTTCAGCCAAATTAAGCTCTGTCAAAGGTAAGTGATAACCTAAGTGAAGTTAACACTACCTTTGCTATACTTTAAGTGTTTTATTTCCTTTGATGATTAACATGATGGTCATATGTATATATTCAAAGCATCTGAAGGGGTTCTCAATATAAGAAAATTGAAAGATAAACTTACATTCATATAGACAGATTCAATCCTTCTCTTCCATAATGGAATATTAAAATAGCAACAATATGAAGATATTTATAAAAGTTCATCTCTGATGACATACAAATTATTATTTTTAAATAGGTAACACTGCACTATATATTTTTATTTATTTCCAAAACTAAACAAATTTCAAATCATTTTATGAGCTACTCAATCACAATTAAATTGATGTATTTAATTCTCAGTATGAGAATATGTTATAATCACAAGCAAGACAGGAGTTTTCATTGTGCTAACAAAACAGCAATAATTTGGTCTAAGGGTACTATGAGCCTTTGACAAAGTATCATTCAACCTGTTAAGATGAACTCCTTAGAAAATTCTGGTTGAACAGAAATCAATAGCCTCTGCTTATTTTTTATATAGTTTTGAATTCTTCCTCACTCACTTGGATACTTTGTTGTCTGGTATAATACAAATAGTAATAGCTTCAGTCTCAAAAAATGAATCAGCATCATCACTATTCATTTCATGCTGCACATAGGCATGATATTTGACACTACCATCTAAACTGAGAATTCTCATGTATATATTGCTCTACCAAATTTATGTTGGAGGTAATGTCATCTTTAAAGACAAACCAATGATTCTAATTTTTGGTAGCATTTCTCTGTAGACATATTGTAAAATACAGAATTAGAATACATCAACACATTTAATGCCTTTTTAATTTATTTATAAAATCACATATTAAAAGACCAAAGTAGGCTATCACTGCTTTGAAACAACACAGTTAAAAAGAGATGCAATCACTACAGTTATCTAAATAGTTCACAGAGTGTATATAATCAATTATAAACACATCTTTAAATGTTAATTATTTCAACCCTGTGATTTCTTGGCTCAAATTGGAGTGATTTACTTTGGGTAAGAGGTGATTCTTAAGGTAAGTGGGAGAAGTTAAGAAGATGTTATTCAAGCAATTAAAAGTTTAATTTTGACAACCAACTAACAAGCAATCAAAATCATGAGTGCCTACATCATAGTTTAAGTATACACCTACTCTTGAGGAAATATAATGTGATACTAAATTAGAAAAGTATATGTGAAACTGGTATGGAGTATACTTTAAATACAAAAAGAAAAAGCTCCCCATTTTTGGAAATTTAAAAATATATTTATGTGTGTATATGTATGTGTATATATACACATCTGTTTTTGAAGTGGAACATTGTATGATGACTCCTGATATTTATGTAATAAAACTGTATGCTTTGAAACTAGAAAGCCTGTGAGTCTTGTTCTTTTTCTAGCACAAAAATGGTTTCTTTCAATAATTATGCAAAGAAACTGCTATTCTGACACTGTCAAAGAGGCAAATACCTGTGGATATGGAAGAAGGGAATCAGAGCCAGAGAACAATGGAATTCAGAAGGGTGATTATTTTACATAGAAAAGACTAGAAAATATTCATATGCAGAGAGGTTGAAGACATTGAAGACATAGAAAAAAAGGAAATGATAATAATAAAGTAAAATCCCTAAGATTCAGGAGGATATAAGGTGTATATCATCATTGGCGCAGCCATGAAAAGTGGTGAGAGCCATGAAGCCAACACAGCTATTTGATACAGTCCATTAAAGTTGAAGCAGATGCTGTTTTCGCCCTTGTGCTATTGTTCACTCTGGGTTCCATGGAGATTGTGAAAAGCATAGGAAAACTGATAGCTCCAGAGTTCTTTTGGCACACCTGCCCCTCAGCGAACTCAGAAACATAGATTTGGAAACGTATCAGATTACAGGCTTCCTTCTGTATGTAGTCTACATGACATTGTCCCCAGAAAAATAAAAACTTAATAACAAAGTTGATTTGCCTAAAACAACCTTCGGTAACATATAGAGATGATATAAAATCAATATAAAAATTTATTAGTCATAAGGAGAATGGATCACACTAAGTTACAATGAGGTCTTTTAACTAAAAAACAAAGAGAAACAAATAAATAGAACAAGTCAGCCTCCATGTTAGGAGAGCTTTTAAACTTTTTTAATTTTTTTAAATTTTTATTAAATACAGTTTATTCACTTTGTAGCCCTCTGTAGCTCTCTTCCTTCTTCCCTCCCAATCCCACCCTCCTTCCCCCTTTTCCACCATGTCCCTCCCCAAGTCCACTGATAGGGGAGGTCCTCCCCTCCTTCCTTCATTATTCAGCAATAAAAAACTAGAAAAGCATGAGATTTGCAGATAAATGGTGGGAACTGGAAAAGGTCATCCTAAGTGGGGTATCCTAGAAGCAGAAAGACACACAGGGTATATACTCACTCATAAGTGAATATATAATATAAGATAAACATACTAAAATCTGCACATCTAAAGAAACTAATCAAAAAGGAGGACTCTGGCTAAAATGCTCAATCCCCATTCAGAAAGGCAGAGGATGGACATCAGAAGGAGAAAATATGGAACAGGACAGGAGCTTACCACAGAGGGCTTCTGAAAGGCTCTACCTTGCAGGATATCAGAGCAGATGCTGAGACTCATAACCAAACTTTGGGCAGAGTGCAGGGAATCTTATGAAAGAAGGGGGAGATGGTAAGACCTAGAGAAGACAGGAGCTTCACAAGGGGAGCAACAGAACCAAAAAAATCTGGGCACAGGGGTCTTTTCTGAGACCCCTTTTCTCCAACCAAGGACCATTCATGGATATTACCTAGAACTACCACACAGATGTAGCCCATGGCAGTTCAGTGTCCAAGTGGATTCCATAGTAATGGGAACAGGGACTATCTCTGACATGAACTGATTGGCCTACTCTTTGATCACCTCCCCCTGAGGGGAGAACAGCTTACCAGGCCACAGAGGAAGACAATGCAGCTTTCAAACTTTTAAGCTAAGCTAACTCACAAGTTGAACTTCACCCATTAAATATTGTTCAAGGTTTGGGAACTCGTTAGACTGACTCAGATATTTTTCTGTTTGATGTTTCGTTTTCCTGAAGTCTAGACTGTCATATGTCACAAATGCTTATATACTCTAAAATTATTTGAGACTGATAATACCTATTCTCTCTGTTCTTGTAACATTTATCCAGGGACAAAATGATATGATCTGTATATCTTTTTAAAATCGTAAGTTTGCCTTTGTTGTGAAATCTGTATAAATAAAGAAGCATCCGGGTTGCTAGTCAGTCAGTAATGTAAGATTCTCCCAGCCATGGTCTCTGACTAATTCATCCATTACTCCCCTCTGCCTGTTCCTTATCTCCTCCCATGGAACCTGTCTGAATGCTGGGGCTGGTCCCTATTACATCAGGGGCATAAAGAACTACAGGTAAGACGGAAAATACAAATTTTACAAGTTAAACAATATTTAAGAAAAAATTCTCATTATTTATTTATTCACTTTACGTCCCGATCACTATCCTGTCTCTCCTCTCCTCTTGTTTCCACTTTCCCAAACTCTTCCCCTTTTTTACCCTCCCCTTCTCCTCAGGAAAGGTGAGCCTCACCCACCACCACCACCACCACTTCCAACCTACTCTGGCACATCAAGTCTCATCAGGACTAAGTCCATCCTCTTCCATTGAGGCCAGATAAAGCAGGCCAGCTAGGGGAAGTGATCAGATGTCCTACTTGAATCTCTCAAATCAGTTGCAATCAGCATTTGGGGTGGCTAATGACTCATTGCAGACTGATCTATATATTTCAAGTCAATTAGAGCTTCCATTTCATGCTTTCTAAATGCCATAAAATGTATTAATTATTCAAACAATCAAATAATATTTTAACAAATATTTATATTTTTCTAGTCTGGATAATATTACACAATTTAGAACCATAAAAAAATAAGCCCTTGAACGTGATCTCGTGCAGCCTATTTTAATGCTGTCCACAAGTGCAGAACTGACTTGGGTAAGGCCACACACTCACCGTTCTATGATGTCAGGGTTTAGGTCTTCAGTGTCTTCCTCAGCCTTTCTACAGGTTCTTCCACAATCAACCATCAGTCAGTAAAAAATTCTACATGGAGCAAACACATTCCCAAACCTAGCAGAACTCGTGAAAGCTGGCAATGTAGTGGTCAGTCTGCCTGTGGAAAAGCTGAGAACTTGCTTTAGAGAATGCCTGGCTTTTTTCTTTTAAATATTTGCTTTCAGAAAGAT